CTTGACTATTTCATATTACCTTTGTTTCTTTTGATCTGCCTCAACAACAAAATAGTCATTTAATTATGATTGGAGATAAATAAGGATAAGAGCCATAAAGGCATACTTCTCTTCTTCCTAAATAAATAGACAAAATCATCAATAGAACAATTTTATATCCTCTTTTGGCATATTGTCCTTGCGATTGGCATAATTAAAGAGATCTTCCAAAGGTGGAACTTAATATTAAGCCAAATCTTTTTATTATATATACTTGCAATCTAAATTGGCCAAAAAGTATAAAATAATTATTTGAAGAGAAAATAACATCAAATTATCCTTATTTTTTTATTAAGATATTTAAACAATAATTGATAAAAAATTTAAAAAATTAATAGAAAAAAAATAAAAATCAAAAATCAAAAATATATTATACATATCCATATTATTAAAATATATAAATACAGTCTTATTACAAATATATTGAATATTAAAAATATTCTTATTTAAATAAGTAGAATTAAGTAGAATTAGACTAAATTATATAAATTTAATAACTTCTTATGAAAAAGCTTCTTAGAAGATCTATAGATGCGGATTTGATTTTATATATTTCTATAGATGATTAATAGGTTGAAAACTTAGCCAACAAGTTGGCTATGTATTGTACATATTGGCCACTTGTAATATTAGTTGGCTATATATTGCACATATTGGCAACTTATAATATAAATTGGCCTTATGGTGCACATGTAAAAAACTTATTTTGGAAGTTTGACATATATATTATAAGTTAAATACATATGGAAGTAATATTTAGATGGTTGCTATATTTCATCACTGAAAGTAGGTTAAAAAGTATTTAATTTTAACCTTCAATATAGAAACCATAGTATTTAATAGTTGCAAGTCCACCTCTCAAATCTACATATTATATATTATAAACTTGATAGAAATCCAGATAATGTATCCAAAATACAAATACAAACAACATAAACAAAATAATTTATAACATGTGCAAAAAATGATGCATCAAAAAATCTTTTATATAAAAAAAATTTAGACTACTATACATAGAAGAAAAAATATTGATACAAAAAGATCTTTGGTAGAAATAAAGTTATTAGAAAAGTTTATAGTAGCAATAAGTTTCAAGAGAAACAATACTACTTGCACTTGTTCTACATTCAAAGTCTTCATTCTTTCAAAAAAAATCCAAACATTTGATCATGTATTATATACCTCATTTTGAGATGCAACCAATGTGCATGGGTATTTAAAAGATGATATAAAGTGACTTGGTGCAATAAATAACATCATTGAAAAATAAATACTAATTATTGAGAGATTATAATTTTTCTTAGATTTTAATTTTAAAAATTCTTTAAATATTAAAAATTTGCAGAATGCAAATGTTGTTCCTATGATCACAATTTTTTTTCTATTATACATGTCTTTGACAAGATATTGTTGCTGCTAATTATGCTAGTACCATTGTCAAAGCTCTATTAGACATTCAATCACATCTTTTATAAAATAAAAAATATTTGATAGTATTTCTAAATATATCTTATTTAAATGAAGAGATTATAAATCAACTAACATTTGTTCAAGGTAGCCAATTGTTTGTAAGTCATATGTCATATAACCATGTAGAGATGAATAATGTTTTGAATGCAATTCTACTACTAAATAATAAACAACAAGCCATATACAATGCACCTATTGGTGCTAAAAGCAATGCCAATTATAATAAAAGATGTTTTTTTAGTAATGGCCTTGGCAGTACAGAAAAAATATTTATTTATAAAAAAAAATAGACTATTATTAGATAAAAAATAAATTCTATAACTATTGCCTCTTCTAACATTACAACAGTGCTACTTCTAAATATAAAAAAAACACATTTGACTTTTGAAATCTTATTAAATTTGAATGTCTATGCAAATTATAGTATTACAAAAGAATCAGAACTAAGAAGGTTACTTAAGGTTATTAAGATATTCATATGGGATGAAATTCCAATGACTAATAAGGCGGTATTTGAAGTTGTGGATAAATTACTATGTGATATAATTAGTGTTGATCAACGATTTGATAAAAAAAACAATGTGTATTGGAGGGAGATTTTTGACAAATATTTTTAGTTTTCAATTGTGAAACAAGAATAAAATTTTAAAAATGTAAGTTTGAAGTTCTTTTATTTTTGGCTATCTATACCAAAATATAAAACTTACAAGTAATATGAGATTGTGCCAAGCTAATGGATCAGAATGAGAATAAAATAGATTCTTTATAAAATATTTATTTTATACTGGAAAAAAAAAAAAAAAAAAAAAAAAATCACTAAGATAGAGCAAAAAAATTCAATTTGTATTTATAAAATAATTTCTACATGTAAAATTATTCATCAATTAATTAAAAAAACTATATAGTAATATTATTAATAATGCCAATAATCACAAATATATCATAGATTGTATAATTTTATCCACCAAAAAATTATCTATTAATATACTTTATCTTCAAAACTTATAAAATTTTCTTGGTAGGCAGAAGGATTTTTTCTTTTTGTAGACTTGATCTTGTATGATAACAATGGCAATCATGAAATCAAACTAATTGAATTTCTTAATATTCTTTCTATAATTTAATTTTGTCTTATTTATTGAAGGCAAAGGTTGGAGTTCCAACAATTGTGGTGTGGAATATGGCAAGAGAAATATGCAATGGAATACAACTTATTGTAGATGCCTTTATTCTATATGTCATCACTACTAAAATTATAACCGATGCTAAAGTGAGAAAAAAAATCTTTATTCTTCAAATAGACTAAGAATTAATTAATGCAGAATTTCTTTTTTAATTAAGGCTATGACAATTTTCATTCAAATTTTTTTTTTCTATGACAATCAACAAATATCAAGGTCAAACTATCTTTGTGTTAGGATCCTATTTGCCAAAATTTGTAATGTCATGGGCAAATATTTGTTGCATTGTTGACAATCGAATCCAAATATAACATCACACTATATTCCAATAGTAGTGAATTCTTTAAATATGTTAAAAATATCGTTTTATTGAAATATTCAAACATTGATATTTAACACAATAAAATCTTTACACTTGTTTTTTATCCAATGAAAAATAAGGGCCATATATATGATCAAAAAAAATATCATTTAGTAATCTAAATGACTATTGAATTCTAAGTGTTTCGAATTTTAGCTTCAATATAAGGGCCATATATATGATCAAGAAAAATATCATTTAGCAATCTAAATGACTATTGAATTCTAAGTGTTTCGAATTTTAGCTTCAATATAAGGGCCATATATATGATCAAGAAAAATATCATTTAGCAATCTAAATGACTATTGAATTCTAAGTGTTTCGAATTTTAGCTTCAATATAAGGGCCATATATATGATCAAGAAAAATATCATTTAGCAATCTAAATGACTATTGAATTCTAAGTGTTTCGAATTTTAGCTTCAATATAAGGGCCATATATATGATCAAGAAAAATATCATTTAGCAATCTAAATGACTATTGAATTCTAAGTGTTTCGAATTTTAGCTTCAATATATATATATAGAAAATAAATCAATATTTTATATAAACAATTGAAATATGAATATTTTTGAAATATTAATATTAAATTTTTGATATTATAATGAAATATTATTATTATGGTTCTTTTTTTAATATAATGACAAGATTTTTTTTTGAAATTATTAATTTTGTCTAGTTTTTGGTTTTTCAACTTCTAATAAATAAGAATCCAACTTAAAAATTTCCAGAAATTGCAAACTTGTAATGTACATTCAAGATTAAGTTTTCATAGTTGAAAAGGTTTCTTCAAGAATTTCATAGATAATTTTTTGATAATATTTTAAAAAAAATCTTCATTTTTTATTAATGAGGATTCAACTCCTTTTCTAAAATATTCATCCAATCAACAAAACTCAAGGAAATTTGCGAAATTTAGCTGTTCAGCAAATTTCAAGGACTTCAATTTTCTTTTTGAAGAATATGTATATATATATATATATATATATATATACATGAGAAAATATAATTTCTCCTTCTGAAGTAGGTGGTAAGCAATGATGGAAGGAATCAGAAACATGAATTTCTATCCACTTTTGGAATTCTTATTCATATATATATATATATATATATATCTATATATTGGATTTTTATTCTTTCTTTCTTCAATTTTTTCAATTCTATTAATAATTTTAGTCTTAAATGTTCCAAGCATGGTGCCAAAATTAACTCTCTGATTACTTTCTTCTTGGCTCCACAAGGTTGTTGTCTAACTTTGTTGAATTGATTGATTTTTTTTACACTCCAAACGCACTATTGTTTAATTCTGCCATATGTTTTTTTTTTAAAAGAATTGTATTATTTTATACAATTTTAAAGTAAAAATAATTAATTACTGCTTTTAAAATTATATTTAGTTAACAAATAAAAAAATTAGTAAGTTAGAAATATATAAATAGCAAGAAAGAGATTGGAAAATGCTTTGGTATCATGTCAACTTTTGTCACGTAAAGAAAAATTACATTCTTAATTTTTTTTATATTCTAGGAAAGAGAAGATAGAATGATTTTTTTTTTTTTTTTTTTTTACTTTATTATATATATATAACTATTGGGATAAAATTGTTCTTTATAATTGTAATGTGACAATTCAGCTTTTAAAGTGAACTCAGACATGTTGAATGACCTTTTGGTAGTACCAAAATAATTCCTTTTTTTTTTTCACTAAGTCTAAACTAGCAAATCTACAAATATTATCAATTTTGGTGGATTAATTATTAATGATATAATCTTAATAAGCTTGGTGGTGGCGATTGATGCAATGGGCAACGACCAGTGGTGGCGCACGGCTTGGAATGACGGCCATGGGCGCACGAACCCCGAGTCCGCCTTCAAGGGAACCCAATCCCGTGGTAGTCCCTATGGCCGCCTCACGTGCCACCGCCGTGAGGCAAGATAGGGCTCGGATCCTGCGGAAGCGCTCTGTCGCAACCCCGGACTCCCCGCGCGCAGCATTGCGTCAATCGTCGCCGGGGATTCACGATTCAGCTCTGCCTGCCTGCATCATCATCATCCTCTTTGAATTGCAGTCTCGGTTGCATTTCCTCTGATACCCACCTTTGACCCACGACGGTATAACTTAACTACCAAGGCGCCTGTAAGTTGCCGATTGATGTTGTTGCTTTGCGGTGATATCATGGCTGAGTGGAGGGAATTGTAAGTTGATTGCCGTTTAGTTTTACAGCGATGGGGATTGATGAGTGGAGCTCACGGTGGATTTTGTTGCGATGATTGAAGGGGGGGGGGAGAGTGAGTGGCTCCAGCTATGGAGTGCAGGGATTGTGTGAGGAGGTTGACGAACAGGATGGGGCGCATGCGGTGCGACTGCGGTGAATGTTGCCGGATTGACGACGTTTGGGTTTCTGGGTTATGACGGAATCGGTTGCCAGTGAGTGATTCAGTTCATTGGGGATTGAGTTGGTTGGTGTTGGAAATGATGGTGGGAGTTACGGGGAGAGGACAGGTCAGCGGACGAAGCGATACATTTTGAGTATTTTGAGGGGTTCGATATTTGTACTCTCGCTTTGTTCCTGGATTCTGGCCGCGTCGTGTTGAAACTTGATGCCGTGTCTCTCTCGCTGTCTCTCACTCCTGTCTTGGGATGCATGTGGGTTGTTAGTTGTGGTGCTGTTTGCAAATTCGCAGTGAAGGACTCTTTACCAGGTCGAACTGTGATTCACTCGGAATTGGTTGCAGTTTCGTATTCTCCTTGTAAAAGTAGTAGTGCTAATTTCAACTCAGACCGTCGATTATTTGCTCTGCAACTTTCTGGTAAAAATCTAAGAACTTCCGAAGTGAGGTTGCCGATAGTTTATCTCGAGGACGACTGAGATATTTTAGTTAAACCCTCGATCCGTATGCGATGGATACCAAATGCTTGGGAGCCGCACAAGGGTCTCCATCATGCGCCGCCCAATCTTTGTGTCTGATTAAGCAAGAGAGACTTTCGATAGGAACCAAGTTCCTGCCCACATCCTTGTATCGTTTCCCACGTCTTCGCCAGAAGTCGAGCTCCGCTCAGCTGTATGGCCTGCGCGCCAACGCAAGCTCAGAGACCCAGCTCGTGCAGGGTTCCCAGGTGAATTTTTATCCGGAGAAACATTTGCAAACGCTTGATGTGCAGAGACCTCAGCGGCATCAGCATGCGCACGTTGCGATCGACTCCAATGATTTAAGTCGGGTATGGACGGCGCCTCCCATTCAACATGATGTAGGCGTAACACTCCTAGTTCTTTTTGGAGGATGGGTGTGGGTCCGATTCTTTGATTTTCTCACGAAGAAGAAGTACCTCGGACAGAAATTGAGCCGGAAGTTGGTGCATATCACATCAGGTCTCCTCTTCGCATCGTGCTGGCCATTTTACAGCTCATTCCCAGGGGCTCAATATCTTGCGGCTCTAGTGCCAGTCAGCAACGGCATCAGGCTCCTCGTATATGGTCTCGGATTCCTAAAGGACGAAGGGCTGGTGAAATCTGTTAGCAGGGAAGGCGATCCTCGGGAGCTTCTTCGAGGACCATTGTATTATGTCGTTGTGTTAGTGTTCAGCACGATTCTCTTTTGGCGTGACTCCCCCGTAGGGGTGCTGGCCCTCGCCATGATGTGCGGGGGGGACGGCATTGCAGACATCGTGGGGCGGAGGTTTGGATCAAGCAAGCTGCCATATAATTCTGGCAAGAGCTGGGCTGGCAGTATTGCGATGTTCTTGTTTGGATTTCTTGTGTCGTATGGGTGCCTTTGGTATTTTTCCCTCATGGGGTTCTATCAACTCGACACAAGGAGCGCTCTTCTTCGACTCTCAGTGGTTTCCCTTGCTGCCACAATTGTCGAATCTCTTCCCATTTCAACAAAACTTGACGACAATGTCACTGTGCCGCTGACCACTGTCATCGTGGGGATGCTTCTCTTTCCTTCTAGTGCAAATGTACTTGGACCGACCAACTGAGGTGGTGAGTGAGCTGATAGCTGTGAGCCGAATTCGTAGGATTGTTCCCATTTCGAACGAAAATAGTTGCGACGTCGTCAGCATCTTGCAGTTCTGATAATTTCTAGGAGCGTGGGGATTTTTGTGAGAAGCTCACTCTTGTGTGTTATACAGTGGAGGACCACAACTCCTTTTATTCAATTAAGTTCTTAATTATTTTGCGTACAAGTGTGTATGAACATTAACATGCTCTGCAAATAGCAGTATCTAAGTTCATGCTTGAGAAATGGGCTAGTTGCCGGAGTTGCCAAGATGAGTGGATTGTGCAGCTCTGTTCCAGTCTTGTGTCAGTGGATAGAGTGAGCGTTTCAATAAGGACCCTGGATGGGCTCTGAGAACATCAACTTTGGTGGATACGTGTTCATATAGAAGAAATGTTGTCAAGACGTCACTGCGGGCTGTCAGTGTTGAAAGTGAGGAAAGATTCAGTTAGGTAACAATATGTTTCACATTCAACCAGTGCCCTAAAGACTGCAGTCAACATCAATGAGAGACTTATCCAAGCAAACTAGTATGACAGGTCTGTGCTATGACTGGAACAAGAACTGTTCTTAACATGCTGTATTCTAAACATTAGTTATGCTTATGAAATGTGGGTTTTTTAAAAAAAAAATCTACACTTGATTTTAATTTACATCATCATGAAAGTAAAATCGAAGATACACAAGCAAAATCAATTTACACTGCAAAAACATCTTAGCAAAAGACATGTCATTAAAAAAAAATATAACATACTAGGGGGCATTACAGTAAAAGAATAGGTATGTGAAAGTTTAATAGCAATTTGAAAAGCTTCTAAGAGAGTATCAGTATGGAAACCACCAAAGAATACTTCTTTGTAGGATAGGAGCAAGATGGAACATAATATTTGAAGAATAAGAATTGAGCGTATGAAGAGAGCTTTAAAATTATGAGCTCCACATAAAACTGCCCTCTTTAATTATCTTCTCCTATTTTTAGGTAGAGACAATTGTATTATGGATAAGAAAAACAGTGATTAAGGCCAATATATTTTGATACTAAAGAGGATCATCTCAACTTCAATGGAAGAACTATCAGGGTACCTCAACATTTCTTTGGTTTAATATTTAACCACTGGTCTACGTTACTTTTCTTAAAGCATTTTCGCCAATGTATACTCCCCCACTAATGCCTACAATATAAACAATCCTTTGGGTTGCTCAACTTAATAAAACACATGCAACAAGGTTTCTTTTCAAATTGCATAAACTTTAAAATTCTATATACATGAACATCTTTGAGCAAAGTGGATCCTCATCTTGTATTTATTCATTTTCTACAGTTGACTCGTCATAAAATAAGTGAAAAAAATATATAATAAAATTAGTTCAGAAATTCACAGTCTCACCAACTATGTTACAAATTTTGGTTTACATATGTGTATATAAATATAAATACAGATAATTATATATATATATATATATATATATCATTTAGTTTTATATACTGAAAAGATTGTTCAGGATTCCTGTTGAATAAAAAATGCAAGAAATCATACACAATTTAAAGAATGTTGTGCCATTAACATAAGAATTGTCCATGTTGTTAAAACAATTACCAATTTATTCACCCCATCCAATATCTGCATTTTTAAACTACAGCAGAATTGGACTCAAATGATGCCATGTCAGCAAGAGTTCCCACTGAGCAAGAGGGGTGCAGCACATACAAAGCTTTCAAGGTGGGCTTAAACCCCATATTCCAATGCCCCACCACAGGCTATTTGTGCAGACGTTTCTGACATAATGCCAAGCTGGCAGGATGGGCAACCACATCCTAAAAGGTTAATTATCCACACGGCCATGTAATGGGTTTAGGGTTGCAAACCCTAAATCCTAAACATGGTACATTTGACCGCTTCGTTTTGTATCTATCCACAATAAATCATTAAATTAAAGTTATGAAGGATAAAATTATTGTTTGAGGGGGACAAATACAATAATCTCTTTGCAATAAGGATTGTTTATACTACTTTATGTTGCAACTGCAAGATATTAATAACTATTTAAACTAAAAAGTATTTTCTCATCAAAATGATCATGTGAGTAAATCTCTTTTGTATATTAGATAATATTTTCTCCCAAACTTGTTTTATTCTACTCATGAATTGAGATTTTTATAACTTTTTCAGTTGAATAAGATCATTGTTTTTTGTCAATGTTTTTGCATTCTATTTGAACTGTAAATGTCCATGATGTTAAAGTAATAGATGTGTAATTTAATATGATTTGCCATAGTGGATAATTTTGAATTCTACTATGTGTATGTGTTACTTTAGCAATTATCTCCTTATAATTAGAACTAATTGTATTCTAAAATGTTATCAAATGAAAAATTGTAAAATTTATGTACCATTGAAATTATAGTTGTTGCAAACAGTATGCTATTGAAATATAGTTGTTGCAAACAGTATGCTATTGAAATACAGTTGTTGCAAACAGTATGCTATTGAAATATATTTTGAAATCAACTAAATTGTAAAAGATTACAAAGATTTGTTTCAAACCATATTATGGATTATGAAAAGATTTTATTAAGGTAGAAAGAGGTATATTTTATTTTTTTAAGTGCAAAGTCTATATTTGGAATTAATGTGGTTTTTGTTATTAAACATATGTGTGGATATATGGATGCAAACTAAGTATTGAAAATATTGATATTATTAAAAAATAAAAGAATGTACAAATACAATGGAAATTATAGGGTTTTTAGGAGCATATATTTTCTATGATATATGGATACCATATTTTACACATGTGGCAAATCTATTGAATGAGTTGTTGAAAAAAAACCAAAAATTCTAATGAAAAAAAAGAACAAAGAAAAACTATAAAAAAAATTAAAGGAACTTCCTTCTTCACCTCCAACTTTGAAGAAAGTGAATTATGAATGCAAAAGATATGTGATATCAATAGTTGATGTAAGTCCAATTGGAATAAGTTGGATAATTGGATAAAATAATGAGTATGGAAATAGATATATGGTTAGATTTGAAGTAAAGATTTTGAATCCTAAACAAAGGACATATGCACAAATCAAAAGAAAATTATGGAGTATAGTAATTTCTATGATAAATAAATAAATAAATTTAATTGAAGTATTGGTATTTATAGAAACACATTTTCTATCTTTATTAGGAATAATTACAAATTATTTAACTCTAGATATTGATTCTTTAACGTGAATAGCATATTTTAAATCCATAAATTTAGAATTTAGGCACATTGCAAGGAAAGATAATTTAGTTGTAGGTATGTTATTAAGAATAAGATATTATGATGAGGAAGATATGATTGATTTAAAAGATGACGTATATGCAAATTTTTATTTTAATACATTATATATATATATATATATATATATATTATATTTGAATATATAATTAAAATTATTTTTAAGAGATTCATATGAAGATGAATGGAGAGATGTTAGAAAGTATTCAAGAATATTAAAGCCTCAAGAAGGTTGAATAAATGAAGAATTTTAAAAAATTCATAGGAAGGCTTATAGATATTTTTTATGCAATGGATATTTATAGAAGCATTCTAAGAAGAAGGGGAACTACCATGATGGATGATATGTGGTTTAGAAGCTCAATAAAAGTTTATCAAGGAATTCCATAAAAGTTTGTAAATAGGACATAGAAGAATTTAGGCAACTTTTATAAAATTGGATGAAAAGTATTGGTGGAAAGGCATGTATAAAGATGTAATTAAATTTATAGAATCATGTAAGATTTTTCAACTTTATTCTAATATTCAACATCAAGATAGATTATACCCAACATATCATTTACCACTACATAAAAAGTAGGTTGTTGATTTAGTGGAAATGCCTATGAAATTGGAGCAAATGAAATATATGGTACTTGCACAAGAAGATATATGTTTGAAAGAAAAGCATTAAAAATAAAAAATAAAATATTGTAAGTATGTCAATTTTTCTTATAAGTTGTTTTGTTTGTTGCTATGGTCATTTTGAAAAAATCATTGTACATAGAGAAAAATTAGATTCTAAAGAAGCAAGAGAATTTTTTTGATAGAATAGAAATTAAATTATTTGTAACAACAAAAGAAAATACAAAAAATAATAGAAAAAATAAGCATGCATTCATCTATTATTAAGAATTGAACATACCATTTACATTATGAACAGACTACAAAAGTCATAATATAAAGAAAAGTTATATATATTTTAAATTATTATATGGAAAAAAGCTAATAATATAAATAAGAGAGATAGTATTTACATAGAATACATTGTTGTGAAAAAATAATCTTAATAGAAAATAATTTTTAGCATTATAGATTCAACAATTAAAAAGAAGACATGATAATATTGAAACAACAATAGAAAGGCTAAAAGAAGCAAGAAAAAAGAATGAAGAAAGATTTGATAAAAATCATTTATTACAATCTAGATCAATTAAAGACAATGACTAGATCTTAGTTTATGATAATAGTCTAGATAACCAACATAGTACATTACAAAAGTTTTTTAAATATTGATTTAAACCATATGTTGTGAAAAAAGTCTATAACAATGGTACGTACTTGTTTTAAGAACTTAATGGAATAAAATTGAAGATACTTATAGTAGGGAAGAAAATCAGGTAATTTAGATAAAGAAGTGAATGCACTTATTTTGATGAAGAACAAAATACATTAAGTGATATTGAAATAGAAGTAGAAGGGCAAATTGGCACATGCAAAAAGATGTACAAGCTTGGAGGGGGAGGAGGAGGTGTAGATGTTGTGTTGTAATATAGCTAATGGATAAAAGAGAAAATAAAACATTAAATTATAGAAGATCTCATTTCAAAGCTTAATAGAAAACTATCTCATACATATAGATAATAGTTAAGGAGGTAATAAAATTAATAAATAATAATATTTATTTTTGTAAAAATATCTTCTAATTAATTTATAGAGCTATAAATAAGAAAAAATAAGATAGATTTGAAAAATTAGTATCATTAAAATCTTCAAATAGAAATAAATAGTAGTTTTTAGCAAAAATTATTTGACTAAAAATTGGATGTCTAAAAACTAAAAAAAACTAAATGTTGATACTTGAAGAGGACCAATTATAAACTTAGATCAAAATCAGATCTAGGAGCACAAAACCACATACTTATAGCAATT